TGAAAACACGTGTGGCCGACCACTGGGCATGAGAATGGATAAACATGGCTTCCTAATAGTTGCTGATGCATATTTTGGTTTGTTTCAAGTGAATGTTGTCACAGGTAAGATATCAATATAAATACAGATGTAATCATTGTTTTTATTATTTGTCATTTTTTTAAACAAATAAATGTATACATTTTATAACTGTTTGTAAAGTGTATATAAACTCTAAAAAAAAGTTTTAAGTAGATGACACAATTTTTCTTTAATATTCAGTTTAACTTGAATAAAAGGATTTTGCAAAGATCAAAAGAATTTAGTACAAGTACTTAAGTGCTTAAAATATTCCATTCAAGCTGAACTTCTTGTAAGGAACCATCCAATTCAAGGATCAAGTTCAAAAAATGGGACTTGGAATTATTCTTGGGGCAAAAAAGAATACTCCCATTCTGACCATAGAAATAGAGAATAAAAACTTACAAGGAAGGGAAACTAATGTCATAACCACTAAAGCGTACTAAAAACAAAAAAAAGCTAAACAAAAATCATTCTTGGAGGCAAAGAGAAAAATCTTCCTGCGTTGTTTTAAGCAACTCCTCAAAATAACTTCTTGCTAATGAATAATGTAGAGACATTTCAAGAATTATCATTTAAGTTTTTTTTTAATTCAATAAGGCAACTACCAATATAAACATTCTAAATCATATTATAAAATTCTATATATACATTTTTAAAGATAAATAATCGGAACATTCATATATAACTTCAGTTCTCTGATAGTAGCACAGCCTCTTTTCAATCCATCAGGAGGCAATAGTTGAAATTTAAATGCAAAATCTCCTAAAATTTCACAAGAACTGCTTAGCAACTTAAGAAATTTTTAAAAATAATAAATAGCTGATAATTTGGTAATGGAAAGAACATTTAAGCTCCAACTGTGGAGATAAGATGGAAATAAATTCTGCTTCCAAGAAAAAAATTACAGGGACCAATGGAAAGAGGGCACAAACTATGACCTTAGAAAAAACATCACATGTAGGTAGAAATCAATTTTTCATCAAAGAAGTAAATTTGTTTTTAAACAGAGACAGTTATGAATATTGTGCTGGAGACTTTAGAAAACATTCAGCATCAATAGCTTACCCATTAATCATGTAGCCATCATTCAAACAGACAACCTTCATTTTTTCACATAGTTCTAGAAGACCTGCAAAGACAGTAGACTTTATGGTAGCCTCAAGGGGTGTTGAAGTATCTGATTTTTAACTCTGTTTTATCTCACCTGTGTCTATTCACTCATGCACCAGCAATCCCAATTATTTTGGCAATGTGTCATTCACTGACTGCATAGCCTGATTATATTTTTATCCCATGCCTCAAGTTACAAAATTTGACCTTGATCTTAAACCCATTCCCAAATTTATTTTGTTAAAAAAAAATGAAGTAATTACTTCATGACTTTCAAACTAATTAAATTCAAGCTACTTAAATATTTCATACAATTGTATCACATTTTTTATACAACACTCATGCTCACATATTTTTTTAATGGCTGTTAGTTACCTCACACAACCCACATAACTATGGTCCCAGAAGACGTGATATATACTTAAGACCTAGTCAGAGTAGGCCTACTATACACTTGTTGTTTATTTACAGGTGATTATACTACATTATATTCATCGAGCACCCCTGTGAATGGGAAGACTCCAAAATTTTTGAATGATTTAGATATTGATGATGATGGGAAAATATATTTTACTGATACAAGCACAAAGTGGACTAGGAATAACTTCCCAATGGTGTTCTTGGAAGGTATTCCAGATGGACGGTAAGAGCATAAGCTTTATATGATTGATAAAGTTATATAGGGTGATGGGAGGACATCCTGGATGTGGGGTTCTAACAAATGACATATTTAGGGGACATTCCTAGCTCTATGCCATCTAACTGAAATTATTGGGGAATGTGATATAATCCAAAACACTTACGAGGCTAAATAAAACATTCCTTTAAAAAAATCAATTCACTGTAGGAAAATATGTCCTCCTTGTCTTTTGTTTACTAGTAATCCTCTAAATATTCTTTACCCTGAAACTGCCACCATCACAAACATTATTATTTATGTTTATAAAATACCTAATACATATATCTATTTCCTACTTTTACTAGCGATGTACACTGACATAGGGCAAAGGTGTTACTTGGCATTCAAAAAATTGCTTTGCTAAAAGTATTACTTACCTAATAACTAAATAGTTCTTGAAAAAGACAATTATTTAGCTTGAAACTATTTTTTTTAGACTTAGAGGTCCATGGTCCTAAATATCAAGTTATTTAACTAAATTCTCTTTATTTGTAGTTTATTGATGTATGACCCAGTGACAAAGAAAACAACACAACTGTTTGAAGGCCTGCTGTTTGCCAATGGAGTTCAAGTCACTAGAGACAAGACTGCTGTACTTGTCGCTGAAACTTCAAAATTCAGAATCATGAAGTCAGTTCAGTTTTCTTATATTTACTTATGAAAAAAAAAAGTACTGTCTCTGTCATTTAAAATTTGGAATAGCTTTTTTAAAAAAAGTATCAAAAGGAAGTACATGTAGCCCTAATGATACATCAGAGCTTATGCAAAACCATGACTTGCTCTTTCCCATCACCTCCCAGTTGAAAAATAATACCATCATTTATAACCTCACTAGACCTCATCTTGAATCCTTTGTACTTTACTTTCTTCTTACAATAGTGCTCAAAACAAATCCATGGTTGCTTCATTTCCCAAAAAAATGTCTTATCCATTCCCTCTCATCTTCAGGGAACAAAGAATTATACAAGTGAGTCTGGAGGAGGGGTGAGGTAATTATGGCTCTAAGACAACCAACGTTCAGACAATACAAAAAAAAACGAATTAAAAAATACAGCCACAAAATTATTTTGTCTTCAGATGCACCTTAAATCATGTTACATATTATTTCTCTTTTTTTTTAAACATTTTCACTTTCACAAATTTAATACAAACTTGAAATCCAATTTTCTATACATCTTACAATGGCATCATAACCAGTGACAAACTCTAGACAATACTATGAATTGCAGTTGGCAGGCATAAGGTGTCATCTCCCTTTTCACAGGGCTGCATTGACTTAAGGAAGAAATATTAAACAGTGGTTTCATTCATAAATGTCTTGTTACAGATTTGATTTGGCAACTAAAAACTTGTCAGTGTGGAGCGATCGGCTACCTGGAGCGCCAGACAATATCCGCTACTGTAAAACTAGTGGGACTTACTGGGTAGGGCTGGCGTTGATCACTCAACAAGGCAAACCCTCATTCACACACTTCCTAGCTAACCGTCCATGGGTCAGAGGAGTCATTGCAAAGGTACACAAAATGTAAATTATGAAACAAATGTTAATATAATGTTTGTGTAATGATGAAATGTGATGGTGAAGTGCTCATAGTGGTCTTCTAAAATGAACAACCTAAGTTTGAATCATGGAAAAGATTGGCCACATAACTCTTTCAAAAATGGCCACACTGCAGGGAAGTTGACTTCACAATCCTCTATAGAAGGAATTAATAATGATGTAGATAGAATGTTTCTTTAAAAAAAACATTGCCCGGAGAAATTCTGTACAATTAAACATTTGCCTTTCTAGACAATGCATAAACAATTTTAGGAAAAAGGATGGGGTTTACTTCAGCCTTCAGCTAATCCACAAGCTTAATATATGACCGAACAAAACTGTTCAGTAAATAAAGATTCAGTACCAGTTAGAACCTTTATGAACCATTTAAGAATATATCTGCAAATAAAGGGAAACTTTTCTTTCATACAGACATAGACGTTTAGAAAAGTAAAAAACCTTAAATTAATATATCATGATATTACTAAAGAAACATGAAGCCTAAAGTTTCTTTTTAGACTTACAATTATGCATGAATTTTCTCTTTACTTCACAGGTCTTCACTATAAATGTCTTTTTGACACTCAAAGATTTTTTTGCTAAGACTGATGCTAAAGCCATGGCATTAGAGTTGAATAGCGAGGGTACTATTATCCGCAGTCTCCAGGACAAAAATGGGGCTGTAATCAAAGGTGTTAGTGAAGTGGAGCATGCTGATGGAGTTATGTACTTTGGCTCATTTAATGCTAACTACGTTGGACGCTTGTATCGAAAAAGAATTCCTGAATTGTAACAATTTATTTTCACGTTATAAACAAGCATGTAATGGTTATAATATGACATGTTATAAGCTAGCTATGCAAAAAAAAAAATAATTTTATTCAATCTTTTAGAGAGTGAAGTTTCATTCCAGTGTTTCCCAAGGTGTGATGATGATGTCTATACATTGTATATTTTCCTTTATGCATATGTGAAAAAGTTTTTGATGGAATAATTGTGAAAGGGGTTTCTTTTGTTTTATATACTGTCACATTTTAAGAAATCTAATTACCAAATTTTACTTTTCTCTGTTTTTAAACGCTAATAATTTTAATTTTTAGTACGTTTTGTTATATTTCCAGGGCTGTTTATGTTGAGTTGTTTATTTGACAACAATGACAACTGTAAAAAAAAAATTATTTGTCCTATCTATAATGTGCATTATACTATTTTCATAATATGCATACAAATAAACACTGAGGGTAAGCTGTAATTCAAATTTTGTCTGATGTCTAAAATCATCCCTTTACCCCTTCACCAGTGTCTCACATATATCAATACTGAGAACATCCATGCTGGGATCATTAGTTGCATAGAGTTGACAATATTTTCATTTGTGCCTCCTATTTGTTAGCTGCAAATGGTTTCTTGTTGCTTTTTCACCTACACAGTGTTTCATTTTATGTTGAGCTAATTGACTATTTGAATGATTAAATTGTAAATGTTCATCAAAAGCAATGTTTCTGACTACAGAATTTACTAATAAAATTTAAAAATAAATATTTTCTTGGTCATTTTCATGTACATTTAAAGAAATTAACACAATTTTATAAAAAAAAAAATGTCACTATTAATTTAACAAAACAATTTATTCCATGTGCAACATTTTATAGTAATTATCTGTTTAATCCAGAGTAAAACAACAGAGTCATAGTTGCATTCAAACAAATAGACCTCTCCTGTTTAAAGTAGTAGTAACTCTGTCTTGTACAGTGATAACAAAACATGTTCCCAGTGAAAGTGAGTGCAGACATTGCATACATGTCATAGAAGTAACACAAAGCTGTGTGAGAAGTCTAAATTTTTAAATGATATATTGCAGCTGGAACCAAGTTGAAGCCTTGATCATGAGAATCTATACATTTTGAACTCAGACATAACTAAAAGAGAATATTCACACATTTTCAGCCATTAGAGCATTTTTTTTGAAAATACAAAATTAGTATAATTACTTATGCGATATATATATATATATTGAATGTACTCTCTGATGCTAAGAAATAATGGTTAAAAACAAATGTTTAATAAAAACAACAAACCAAATTGTGAACATATTTATTTAACTTCAATTTAAAATGTTCTGTACACAGTCATAAAATGAATATAGAAATTGAAAACCTTTTACCTGTATTATTCTGGTCATTGCAATATAACCAAGGGCTGTCAATACACAGAGTTATTTATTTAGAAGTTTTCCCCCTTGTCTATTTGTCAGTCCTTGTCTTTGTAGAAAGGGGGGGAAAGCAATCAACTGAAAGGTTACTATTTAATGCATTTCAGTATTAACATTTCTCAATCGTAATATCAATCATATTAATTGTCACGGCTAATATGAAATTATAAATTTAAAAAAAATGAAAGTACATTACTTTTTTTTTTTTAAACTTGGACAAAATAATACTCATTTCTGTTGTTTTTTTTCCCTCCTATTCAAACAAAACTACAAATGAAAAAAGCAACATATTGACAAAACAAAGAAAGGAGAGCTAACATGATCCACCATCCACCAACTCCAGTGACAGCTAGTCATCAACCACACAAAAGATACACTTGAAATATCAATACAAGTTGAAATGCAAACACTCCATGCCTCGGGCAAGACAATGAAACACCATTAGGAATCATGTTATCATTGCAGAAAATGATCTCTAAAAATAACAAGTAGCTATTTATTTATAGTCAAATATTTTACAATGACAAAATGAGTCATGTTCTATCTAATTAACATGGTGTTCATAATTCACATTATTTTGTTTTTTTCACTTGGAAAGCATTACATTTCTTTTCCCAAGCATAAATGCAATGAATATGTAATTTATTCTCTAACGAGTACAGCAAAGATCTGTATTCCTGCCCAATTGACGCCATGGACATAGTGAAGGTTGAGTTAGGGTACTGTCACTTTTGAGTCAAGAATTAGAATGGCAGCTAGACATTTCAGAGTGTAGGTAGTTTGCACAAACCATACACACTGGGTCTGTAAGGACTGGACCACAATGACTCTATGGAGAACTGTTTGTGTGTCAACAATCTTGGTCAGCTGATGGGGTCATGCTGTCTTCTGAGGCTGGCATTTGTTGCAGCTGATCGTGTTGCACACCAATGGCTGAGAAGAGAGAGAATGGGTCCATGTAAATGTCATGGGAATTTGTCAGTGCATAATTAATATCTTCAGGAGCCAGCGGACCCAAGATAGAAGCTGAAGCTTCCGTTTGGTCCGAGGTGTTGGTAGCATACTGTTTGGCTTCTGGGTCAATTTTAGTTGCTTCAGATTCTTCTTCAAGTTGTAGATCTGCAGGTGGCTTCAACTTTGACAGTTCTTCCCTTAACTGATTGTAGTGACGCTATCAAGGAGAAAAACACATAAATGTTAAATGTCAGTGGGTATTTTCAAAATAATCACTAATGCTACTTATACTGAAATAATCAACTCTATGATGGTCATTTTGTAAGCCAAAAAAAGTTTTCCAAAGAAAATTCCATAGTTTTTCTGATGCATTATTTTGAGTTAGAAACAATCCAAAATTACAAAGCTCCAATGAGAAAATTGAACACAGACCAATAAAAATCATTATGGAACTCTTCTAACATTTCTTACTGCTTATGTGGATTTGTGCTTTTAAATATTTCTTTATCTAAAATTATTTCTTTTTATTGATGATATCTAGTAGATGGCATGTTAAAAAAAATCAAACTACAAAGAAATCTACAAAAAAGAAGGAAGAATACATATTAGGATAATTTTGGTTTAGCTCAGTGTTGCGGTCAGTGAGCAGTTAAGTGCTTGGCTTCCATACTGGGGTCCAAGGTTCGAATTCTGGTGAAGACTGCTTCGGGATCTTTGGGGGCCTCTGAGTCCACCCAGCTCTAACCTGACAATAGTTGGGGAAAAGTAAAAGGCGGTTGGTCATTGTTAACCGTAGGCCACAGAAACAGCTGACCATTACATCATCTGCCTTATCAGACTACAAGGACTGAAAGGGTAACTTCACTTTTTACTTTTTATGGTTTAGCTGACTTTTTTTTGTCCAGTTACATTAGGAAAATCAATGAAAGATGCAAGATACTTATGTTTTAAATCAAAGGTCAAACCTAGGACTAATAGTTGAATAGTGAAGCCCATACACATAAATTGTATTTTTTTCATATATGATTTAATGCACTATTTTTATGCTTTTAAGTTAATGATTGGCATTCTTTTAAAATTACATTAAATGGCAACCTACATCTTTAACAATTCACGTTCACAGAAGACACTAGATACCTTAGAACATTTTGTGTGTTTCCATTGACACAAACACATTTATTGAATAAAATGATATAGAATAGATATATGCCAAATAAATTTATAATGCATACTTTAAGTGCCAATGTGCTCTGTGCTATTGATCTTCCAGTGCGTTTATCATTGCTATAACCTTCCATTTCTGTTATCCATTTTTCACACTGAGAAAGAATCTCATGACGCTTCAGCCAAAAATGTGCATGGATGATCTTAAAGAAGAAAAATAAATGTAAGTTTGATTAACCAAAGCATTTAATAGATTTCTAGCATTGTCAACATAAAATCTCTTTCTAAACATTCATAGGAATTCAGGTACTAAAAATAAATAACTGCCTGCCCATATATTAACTGTAGGCAGTATTTGATAAAGGGAACTATTATTAAAGGAATGAATAAAAACTTTAAAAGACTATCAGTGAAGACCAATAACATAAACCTGGGACTAGAAAGTCAGGCACTCAGGCAAAGTTGCTGTTTTTTTTGTTTTTTTTTCAATGAATACATTTTGAAAACATTTATGTAGAGGTTTGTTTTTTATTTATTTAAAGTGTAAGTGTTGGTTGACATGATAATGAAAAAAGAGAACCTCTTTAAAACATAGAGAGGGATTCTTCAGCTGCTCCAACATAGCCCATTTGACTGTGGCTTGTCTTATGTTGGCATCATACTCATGTGAGCTAGCAGCTCCTGATGGGGTACCTCTAGACCTCTCATAGCCAGGTTCATTGAAGTAAGGTTCACTGACCAGGATAAGAGACTGAATAGAGACCAAAACCTGTTGAAAAAGAAAAAAAAAATATATAAACTCTGGAATGCATGTCAAGTATTTTTTATAAAAGAAGACAAAAAAACTTTGTAAAGCATTAACCATTTTTCTGTACAGAATTTGTAAAAGAAATTTAAATATGACCTACTTGTAGAAAACTGGAAGTTTGTGCATTCCATTTCTCTTCTGGCCTACCATGCCATGTATTTAATACACTTAGACAAACCTGTGAAGAATAAGGTTACTAGCTATAATTATCACATTCTAATCCTTACATGTATGCCTTGCGAAGAATCTCATTAAGATTTACATACCTTGCCGTCATTGTATAGATTGGGATTGAATCGCACTGAATGATTTCCTGTTGTTTCCATGTTGATGAATGGGGGAGTGTTTGGATAGTCTTGGGGAAAGAACACATCAAATTCAAAACATCCATTGGCATAAGGAGTGTCTGATGGACCAGTGATAAGTACCTGCAGGAAATCAAAATGTAAATAGCACAAATTCAGATCATCATCTCATCTAGTTTAAACCAGCTAACCGAGCAATCTGTATGATCTACTATGTAAGTACCACACTATTTATTTGTATTTGATCTACTTCATTGGACCAACCTTCTACATTTAGCTATATTTATAAGATCTACTTCAAAGAGATGAATTAAACTACATTTAACTAATCCTCTGAATTCAAACCATCCAGCATTTCAAAGTCTCCCAGTCTGTTTACCTACCTTCATTACATCAAGCCTGTCTTCATCACACCTTACAAACACACTGGAGCTAAAAGCCAAAGGAAGTGATGTGGACAGTGTTACTGCCTCTTGGGCCAATCGCCTGGTTCTGGCTATGTTTGTCACATTGCCCATAGATTTGACATTAGTCTCATAGTGGTGGGGCACATTGAACTTAAGTGTTTTCCCTTCTTCTGTCACCATCTCAAAGGTGTCAAACTGAAGTGCTTTCATCACAGAAATGTATCTGTCTTCCAGAGTTCTCAGTGGCTTGACTATCTGGAATTCTTTCTCTTCAATGTTGGCACTTTCTGATTTGGCTAAAAGTACAAATTAGTTTTAAATTGGGCTGCTAGAAAAAAAAAAATTATAGGGATTTTCCTTTTAGTTAAAACAATTTATAAGTTGATTATATTGGATCTGTCAAGGCAGATGAGCTTTCAGAGTTTGCAGCAGAAATAAATCACTCATATTGGCAACATTAATAAGTTCAGTGCTTTGAGTTTTCAAAAGTTAATAATGTATATATTTTCTTACAAATGTCTGAAGCTTTTAATAAATGTAGATCACTGTTCAAGTACTAGGTGTACATTTTCTGATTTCTATTTATGTTTGACTGCCTTTTATGTTTAGCAATCACAATTTAATGTTCATCACAAACAAATAAAATTTGCCTAAACATCTACTTCAAAAGTTTGCACTTTGTTTTGAGATAAATCAGTGCTATTGAGGGGAAAAAAAGTTACCAGAATTTTCTTTCAATTTGTGTGTAGCTAAGGCCACCAAAAGTGCTGTTTCCTGTATATCTGGTATGAGTAGGGCCAAACCTTCACTTTCTTCATCCTCCATTTTGTTGCCTGATTTACCTTTGTTAGATCTAGCAATGAAAAAGCCAGCAATGAAGTAACAGTTTTTGAACAAAGACATCACTACATTATTGTTAAGGCTACAAATGACTGTTAAGATAAATGGATTACATTTACATACTGAAGTCTTGAGTACACAAAAGTCACTTTTGTTTACGGTGCATTTGAAAACATTATTTTGTGCATGAATAGAGACAAGAGACACTCCCTGTGGTTTGTTCATCAATAAGATTAGAAAATAAAATAACACAATCCACTCAGATATTTACCATACAACAAATTAACACTTTTTTGTGTTAGATATTAAACTAACTACAAATGT